GAGAGAGAGAGAGAGAGAGAGAGAGAGAGAGAGAGAACGAGGGAGATGTTGGTGTTGCCCAACATCCTCCGTCCGTTCGCACACAGGCTCGACGTCCACGACGTACAAACTTTTGTTTCTTTTTCGTCTCCACTACAAATCAGCGTTCACGGTACTTATTTCTTGTGTCGTCTGTGGTCACACAGAAGGGTCGCTCTCCCTGAGGCCCCTTACTCATCCCTCCTGCGGTACTTTGCCTTCGATTTTTGATGCGAAGAAGATTGCAGCACTCTCTTCCCTCTATGTACACACGAACTAGCGCTTTCCACCCGAAACAATGCTGGAAGAAAATGAAAACAAGTGTGCAGCCCTTTCCGGGAAAAAAACGAGATTGTCTTTGCAGGACCATCGAGACCCGTCATTTAAAAAACTATGGACGGGGTGAAAACCATAAAATTACACTTCCCCGCGTCAAAAAAATGCTGCACAAAAAAAAAAAGAATACCTTCTCGAACAGCTCCTCCTGGCCCACCCCTTCCCCCGCGGCGTAGTCGAACGTGAAGTGCTTCGCTCCGACGCCGTCCGCCCTCTCCCCGGCCCACGCCACCGTCCTCTCGTCCGGACCCACCGACGCGCACGCCGGCGAAGCCGAGTAGCACGAGGAAGAACGAGAAGAGCAAGACGGGGACGAAGGAGAGGGCGAGGATCCCGCTCCGAGGCCTCGCACCCCCTCGTTGCGGCCGCCGCCACCGCCGCCGCCGCTGCCGCCGCCGTCTCCGCCTGATGGCCGTCGCTGCCGGGGCTTCACGCGGCACGCCACCGTGATCCTGCCTTCATGGTCGGCGGCCGCCGTGGTTCCGGTTCCGGTTCCGTTTCCGGTCCCGATTCCGGTTCCGCCGCCGTTGCTGCCGTACGGCGGCGGCGCGTAAGGCCTGCTGCTGCTGCTGCTGCTGCCGAGGCCGCCGAACGACCGCGGGGTGCTCATGATCGCCGACCTCGGGGTAGTGATGGTGGTCGACGACGAGATGGACGAGGTCGGCGACCAGGCGGAGCGATATGTCACCCCCCCCGCCCCCGCCGCCGCCCCCGCCGCCGCGGCCGCGGCGGCGGCGCCGCCGTCAAACGAGGGCGCGCGTGCCGTCGTCGGAGGAATTGCCGTGATGGTGGGGGTCGGCTCGATGTCCCGGACCCGATAGAGGGGAGACGGGGATGGGGTCGCGGGGGTAGTGTACGCTCCTGCTGTCGCCCCCCTCTGAGTCGCTACTGCTGCCGGTTGAGTCGATGGTCGTGGCATCGACGTCGTTGCTGCGGTTGGCGTTGATGTTGGCGTTGCCGTTGGGGTTGCCGCCGCCGTCGATCCGATCGAGGTCGCCCTGGAGCGCAACGGCTTTCCCCCGGGGGAGTAGAAGGACGACGGCCGGCGGAGACCGGAAGTCGTCCCTCCAACAGCAGTACCGCTACCGCTGCTAGCGCCGTCAGTGCCACGGACGCCGCCGTGGCCGTGACCGCCGCCGCCGTTGGGGGAATAAAACGACGAAGGCTTACGGAGACCTGACGTGCCAACGGGGGCGGCAGCGCCATTACTACCGTTAGCGGTGTCACCGCCGCCGCCGCCGCCGCCACCGCCGCCACCGCCACTTGGAGAATAAAACGACGAGGGCCGGCGGAGACCAGACGTACCAACAGAGCCGCCGCTAGCGGGGTCACCGGCACCGAGGCTGTTCCTGCTCTTGCAGCCGTTCGCCGCGGCCTTGATGCGTCTACCGGGGGCGCCGCTGCTGTGCCTGCGGGCGCCGGAGGTAGGAGTCGCCAGTGACCTCGTCGGCGACGCCACGCCGCCACCTGCCGCTGCCGCCGCCGCTGCCTCACCCACTCTGAGGGCGACGGTCGCGTGCGGCGACGGCGGTGGCATCTGCTGCTGTTGCTGTTCCTGCTGCTGGCCCGACACATCACCACCTCCACCATCATCGGCGGCGGCGGCGGTGGCGCCACTGTCAGCGGCGGTGGAGGCGGCGGGGGTCGCAACGCCGACGCTGCTGCTGCCGACGTCGTCGCCGTCGCAAGACGTCTGCGCCGGGGAGCAGCAGGCGGAGTCGAGACGGGCCAGCACCGGCATATTCTTCCCGGAGTGCGGGCCTTGCGACCCCGAATCCGCCGAACCCCCTTCCTTGCCTCCGCACTCCGCCGTTGACACCCGGGCCGCCGCCGCCGTCGCCGTCGCCGTCGCCGTCGCCGCGTCGCCGTTGCCGCAGCTGACCACGCTCCCGCCGTGAAGCCCTCCCGCCGCCGCCGTGCTGCAGCTGCCGCCGTTGCCGCTGCTCTCGCTGCCGCCGATGCCGTTGTCTGTCCCGGCGGCGGCGGCGGCGGCGGCGGCGGCGGCGGCGGTAGTTGTGACTGTGACGGTGGTGGCGGTGGAGGATATTCCATCGTCAGCAGCCGTTATCGTTGCCGAGGTGCTGGACGTTGGGGAGGGTTCGGGGGACGGGGCGGAGGCGGAAGAGGAGGAGGAGCACAAGGAAGGGGAGGCCTCCGGGTCCGGCATCGGCAGCGGAGAAGGGGACATGGCGGCGAGGTAGCCTTCTGACGACACCGAATACATGCTGTAGGCTGCTGCTGCTGCTGCTGCTGCTGGGTGTGCCGACGGTGCTGCTGAGCTGAAGCCACGCCTATTGTGCTCCTCCTTCTATTTTAGCCCCCCCCGTTGCTGATGTTGCTGCTGAGCTAACGTCCCGCCCCTTCTTTGTTCGGCGCTCCTACTCCTTTCTCTCCCCCCTTCCCCGATCCCGGCGAGCGTGTGTACCTAGCACCCACAGCAGTCGGTGTCGAGAACAGAAGAAGACACAGCCCAACTGCCAGCTCTCCCTCTCTCTCTCTCTCGACCTGTCTTATCCCTTGACAAAATCGCGGGCACCGTTCTGTGTCCACGAGCTGCAGCTAGCAAGCCACAACCTGTCTACAGAGCAAGCAGATGTAACCGCCGTCTCCCTTGCAAGAACGCGTCTGATGCCAGGAGCGGCGACGTTCCGGTGTTCGTGCGCCGGCCGCCCTCAAGCCGACGCCGCCGCTGCCGCAGCTCCCAGCTCTGCCCACCTGTGGCTGGCTGTTAAAAACTAACATCCACGATGCAGCAGAGAGAGGGAGTTGGGCGGGAACAGCGTGGTGGGCACACATGGAGGGAACGGGGCGGGGGGGGAGGTTCCACACCGTGCAGGAAGGGGTGTCAATGTCGGCGGCAAAGCAGAGGTTGTACCCCCACTAGTATCTCCCGCCGCGCCCAAACATAGCTCAAGCGGCCGTCTTCGCGAAAAATTGAGTCAATTTTTATGAGGAAAAGGAACGGGGGGAGGGGGTACGCAGACCATAATCCCTAACCCATCTTCCCCGATTGCATGCTTTATCCCACATGTTTAACTTAATCGGAAATCCCTGCTAAGGCCAACGAATGTGGGACGGCACAGCGCACATCATTTCCCCAACGCCGCCGTGTTCGGCGCCGCCACTCTTTGCCGCCGTGGGGGCGAGATCGAGCTTTCAAAAAATCTGTGATTTGGCGAGGATCTTACTAATAAACCTATGTATACCGCAAGTGGCATACGATGTCAAACCCCCTGGACTGGGTTTCGAAGCTCGATTACTCCACGACGAAGGGGATGCAAAAACTGAAGCATTTTCCGCACCGGTACTGGTTGAACAATAGAGCTTCAAAAATCGGTCCGGGGGTTGTGATACCTTACAAAACCTTGAACTCTCGAGCCTATGAATAGAGCAGGGGGGTTCGAATCCTAACCCTCAACCCGCACCCGTACCCCACCAAAACCAACAAATCGTACAGCAGTATCATCCTCGCGAAAGCGCTACTGGAGGATCTGTTTTAGTGTGATGCCATACGGTACCAACCACGGCGGTGGTAAATGTACTACTACTTGACACATTCCAAATACTCAGCTGGTCGCCACAACTCCACCGCCACCAGCAGCCACGACTACTGTACTTCATAATACTTCTTTATTACCGTACATGACACTAGATAACACACCCCCTGAACCAATTTTTGAAGCTCGATTACTCCGCGACGAAGAGGATGCATGAACGACACGATGCAATTTTGGGAAAGCTCTCGACGAGACGGCTCCAACGCCGCCGTTTTCTGCGCCGTGACTCTTTTTGTTGTTGAGAAATCGAGATTTGAAAATCGGTCCAGGGAGTTTGTTATCTTTTGTCATATACGGTATTGGCTTACCAAGAGTGCAACAGTCCTACTGCTGCTGTATCTTCATGGCATGTACTATATAAACTAAGCACACATGAAGAACGGTGGAGGGATGAACGAACTGCTCTCGGGAGCACGCTTTGCTATTTGCTACATGTACACTGCTGGGGAGCCCGGTGCTGCTGCAGCGACCCCTACAACTCATAACAAGTATTATAGTGTCCCGACGAAAATGTGGTCGGTTTTCAGGGCAGGTCGCCAAACCGAGCCACTGCTGTACCAACATACTTCATCATTTCGCAGGTATGACAACATACTACAGGGATGTCGCTAAACAGGGCATGTCGCTAAGCCGGACCCCCTACAATACAATACTCCTCAATAGTCAACGGCCTCGCGGCCGGTGTTGTGCATGCACACAAGACATGCGGGCACAACATGCGGGACCACCGCTTGCCGTTCGTGTGTGCCGCTTCTTGCCTCCTTGTTGAGGTTGCGAATCTCACATATGTATACAGCAGAAGATCATGTGTAGCCGGGAAGGGCGAAATGCATCTCAAAACCGGCTATGAGAAACACCTGCCTGCCAAAATGCGCAAAAAAAAAGAAGACACCCCGTTGTGTCTGGAGAGCAGCGAGATGCGAGGGTATATCGTACCATCCGTTGCACAACCAACAGAAAACTCGACAAAAATCCAGAAATCTGTTTTCGTCCTTCCAGCAATTTGTTCAATAGTCCTCACGGCAAAGGACAGGTGGCCACTAAGATACAACGCATGTACAATTAGCAGTCTTACCTGGCGCCTCGAACCCACGTAGGAGAAATACTGCTATCGTCCACAACCACCAAGTTGGCCTATTAGTCTAAGGAGCTGATTATGATTTTTTGTGACAGCGTGTGGTGCGCTGGATAGACTAGATAGAAGTAGCCAATGTTTTTCAAATCCATCGTTGACTGCTGTGTGTATGTAGCCGCCCGCGCCGCTAGACAATCACCGGACAGACGCTCTCTCACACCAAAAAGGGCAGGTGTGGCAAAACTACTCCGTGGCGCCATACGCTGGGGACGTGCGCTCCCGGCCACGGCAAGAGGAAAAATCGGCATGCACGCCGCAGCCGATTCCGTCTTGACATCACGGAGTGTTTTGAAGTGTGGTGCGATGCCGCCCCACGCTGCTCGCGACGAGTGCCAAACAACGAGAGTATTTACAAAAATGGCTTGCCGCGTGGTGGTAATACGCACGCGAATGCAGGGACACACGTCAAGCGGCCCTCCCCTCCCGCACCCGACCCCTGGTATGACAGAAAGCAAGCCCGCCCCTCTCACCTCTAGGGTCTGTCTCGCCACTTGTGGGGAGTCCGGGGTATGATGGTGTTCCGACCGTAAAACAAGCGTGCTCGCCCACGGCACCAAATGACAGCGGGTAGAAACCGAGAACTCTGTGACTAGGGGGCACGCGAACAGTGTGTGCGGCACATCTTTAATTTTGAATTGGTACAGATATATTATCATCTGTGCTGCCTCTGACTGTCAGCTGCTCTCTCTCTCCTACGGCGCGGCTGTGATGCTCGTGTTGCGCACGGGCGCCAGAGAGAAGAGGAAAGGAGGGAGAGAGAGAGCGAGAAGGAGAGAGAAAAAATAGCGCACCGCGCGAGAGCTGTGCGCCTGTCTGATTGGTGCCGGCACCGCAGCGGGCGACGGCGTGTTGTGATCGCTTTTGAAGGAGGGGGAGAGGTCATCAGGCGAGCGGGTTTGCGCACAGTTTCCTCTCGGAAAGGAGCGACAAACCAGCAGTTGTCGACGACCTTGCTTCCCCCTGCGGGCTGTGTTTGCAACACGTCATGGGAGAGGAAGAGGCGGAGGGAGTGAGAGAGCAATTTCCCATGGACGGGCAGAGAAACGTCGGGGGTGCACAGCAGCAGCAGCAGCAGCAATGCACGACATGTACGACGACTGCTGCTGAGCTTCGTTTTTTGAAGCCAGCAGGGTTCATCCAGCACGAGATGAACAGCAGCGACAGCAGTGCTCGAGACGGGGGCTTGGCGAGGGAGGAAGGGAGGGGAAGCATGGGCGGAAGCAGCAGGAGAAGGAGGAGAGGATCCAGCGCGAGGACGCTGGCGGCCGGGCTGGCGTTGACCCTGGCCGCCTGCTCGACTCCGGCGTACGGGTGAGAGAGACTGGCGAGCAAGATTCTGTGTTGGAGACACACGTGACGTGGGCGTTTTTTTTTCACTAGATATTTGAAGAACATATGCATAATGTGTTCGATGCTTTTTCATGTAGTTCTAGAAGTATCCTCTCTTCAACAGCTAGCTTCGGTTGAGAGGTTAAGCGCGACTGCTGTTCCGCCGTAGTGTTTGCCACCGACCCAAGGCGTATCGTGCTCTCGAGTGTGCGGCCCAGACTCTGTCTGCACTCGAACAACGACACCAGCAGCGGAGAAGATTCTTTCATTGAGTGGCCTTCAATTTATTCTGGTTGTGTGCATCATGTGTTATGAGACCCGTTCTTTGGTTTTTCGGGTGTTCTCGTCGAATTGTTCGCGGAGCCCCTCCGTTCGACACTCTTCGCCTTCCCTGCTGCCTCCAGGGTTAGCTACTATCACGAGTACGTGATGATGATGCTGTTTGCTTTCACGGTTGACTAATGCAGAGTCTGCGCACGCCGCAGGTAGACCCTCGATAAAATGTCGGAAGAGTGTGCAAAATAGAGGACGTACTTTTTTGCTGTTTTCCGATCGTTTTTTTTTTGCTTGTGCGCGTTTCTCCTCACACGACGAAAACGAACGCTGTACGCCCCCCCGGCACTATTAATACGAGGATATGCAGCATATTATCGTGTGTCCACTACCCCCAATAGTTCGTACCTTCGCCATCGACCAAGCTCAAGCTTAGGTCTGCAACTCCACACACAGTTCCCCATGGCATTCCAAATACATTGAAACCTGTCTATTGCAACCGAAAGCAGGGTCTCGGCCTTTGAACAAGCTTTACAACCACCGCTGTGGCCGTTGGAAGCATCCGGCAGGCACCGGTACCGCTACCTCACTACCGAGCGGTCTTTGAACGCACCCTACAACCAATCCCCTTGTACCTACCCTCCATCGGAAACGGGAGCGAAAATTAACCATTCTTTGATTGAGACGCTGCGTTATTTTTCAAAGACACAAGCTTGACGAATAGGCTGAATATTAACGAAGCGCCAAGAATCAAAATCCAAGAATTCAAAATCAAAATCGACATCCGATTGGTCAAATAAATCATACCTCATGACGACGCCCTTTGACTTTCTGGAAGATTCTCTCTCCGGGAAGAAGTCCCCGAGGGAGTTTTTTATCAACATCAAAGATCAAAGAGGCAGGGAGTTCAAGACTTGGAAGGCTTGGAGCAACTGCCGCGAGGCCGCTGAAAAAGCAAGTGTACGACACGGCCTGCTGTACACAGCTCATCGAGGGGCTATGGGCATCCTACCACCGACACCATGGCCATTCGTTGTAGCCAGAAGACTCTGCTCGCCGGCAAGCCCAAAACCGGGCCGGCTCGTTGGGTGCTCGAGGAGAAAATACCGATCGTGACAAGCGGTGAACGGACTGACGATCCAAGCAGGGCGCGGCGTTGTCGGGGCTGTCCCGTGCGGGAGACGGTACTCACAACCTTTTTTTCTCCACACTCACGATACCCCAAGGCATCTAGCCTTGTACGAAAAAGATAGTGGGTAGAGGTACCTCCCGCCGCGTGGCATTGCTCTCAGTGTTGTTGCTTCCTCCTTCGAAAGGATATCGCTGGAAAACTAAACTGTGAGCAGACAATCGGCGCGAACTTGAACTATAATACCAGCTCTCTGACGTGGATATCTTTGGGTCAACCAATTTTCTTCCCGATACGCACGATACCCCACGGTAGCAGACCTTGGGCTTGAAAGATGGAGCAGAGAGGTACCTCCCGCCGCGTGGCGTTGCTGCTGCTGTTGCTTCCTCCTTCGGAAACTTATCGGTGGAAAACCACCCCCGTGGCGACCCAAAACACCGAATCGAAGTGATCGCTCGCAACAGTTGGCATTTTTGCTTCAACACAACCTTTTTTTCCGGCGCATTCGGCACCTAATGACGCCAAACCCTGGCATCGCCCAACAGCCCATGGCACCAGCTCCTTTCGGATACCGTTCTTGAGGCAAGTCGTTTTTCACTTGGCGAGATATCGGCTAGCAGGTGAACAGAAGAGCGCAAAACCTACCCTAGAAAATTCACCGCGTCGCTGCTGGCTCTTCCCCCGGCGCCAGGTCTTGTTAATTAGTCACCCCATCTGTTTCCTATCCACGTGAACATGTTCGACCCCCTTTTATTCAGTTCCACGATACATTTTCGAAAAGACCGTTTCGACGCCGCCGTTTTCGGCGCTGTGACTGTTCCGGCAGTTGAGAAATCGAGCTTCGAAATTCGGTCAAGGGGGTGTGTTATATTGTGTCATATACGGTGTTCGGCCCTAAGGATGGTGGAACAATTGTTCATGACCCCTCCCTACCCCCACCCGTTCTTTCGCAGTCGAGGTGTCTCAGGCCTGATCGGATACAGCAGCTAGCGCCCGCGCTAAAAAACTTCGTAGTCAAGAGAGATTCGAGCCTCGAAAAGCTCGAAGTCAATGAATACGAACTTCAGCACCGTTTGTGTGCTCGGTCGAAGATACCTGTTCGCTAGCACCCACCGTACGACGGCCACTCGCATATATGTATGTAGCATCGGCCTACGTAGGAACGAAGAACCCCAACCTCCTTGACCAAAAGTAGAGGTTCTTGAGTGCGGCCGCTAGGCGTACACATGTATTCGTACCGATGTCATGTCTTGTCATCACAGGGCACCAACCGTATACGACACAAGATAAGACAAACCCTACACCAATTTTCGAAGCTTGATTTCCCAGCAGCAGAAAGAGTGGGGGTGCCGAAAACGGCGGCGTTGAAGCCGTCTGGTCGAGAGCTCTCCGAAAATGTATCGTTTCGTTTATGCAGCGTATTCGAGCTTTGAAAATCGGTCCAGGGGGTGTGTTATCTTGTGTCACATACGGTAGACGCGCCAACGGCCTACATACAGGCAGAGCCAAAGGGATGTCCGAGAGGTATACGCAAAGTGCAAAAATGTATGTCACGGGGGGGGGGAAGGGTACGCGGAGTGCGAAAGGGATGTCGCGAGGAATGTACAGGCGGAGAGACCCACAGCACCAAGATGTGGGCTCACAAAAACCTTCCCTGATTGTGTTCGAGAATTGCGAAAGAGAAAGAGCAGTAGTGTACGCGGATTGCGAAAGGGGTGTAATGGGGGGTACACGGAGTGCGAACGGATGCCATGCGCGTGAGATTGTGAAAAAATGAATATTTCAGCGCCACCCGCTGGGCGGCGACGTGGGTGATGTTTCAGTTTTCTCGTGGTGTGTATGTGTGTGATTGGACCTTCAGCTCACGGCGACTCTCACCGACACGGTACTGCCTGCATGGCCGAAAAAGTCAAACAAGAACGCCCGCGCAATCTGTTGTTTTTTGGTACTGCAGTTTAGTCGCGGGAAGGCTAGGACCATGTATCGCTCGTCCTCGATCGACAGTAGTAGTCAATTCACATACCAGGCGGCACTTAGTGTCACGAGATCATCTCGCAACCTCGACATGTCCGATATCCCTCATGCTAGGTCTACAGCAGTAGTCAAGTCACATACCAGGCGGCACGTTGTGTGCCGAGATCACCTCCGAACCTCGACATCTCCGATATCGCTCATCCTAGGTCTGCAGCAGTAGTAGTCAAGTCACTTACCAGTCGGCACTTTGTGCCGAGATCGTCTCGTAACCTCGACATCTCCGTTGGAACATGAAAGAAGCGGGCCGGCTCAGCATGACAGCAGTAACGGCACGCAGGCGGGCGGTTGGGTATATGTGAAACATATGTCTCCAGCAACTCAGATTGAGGGTGTACGAAGGCGCCACTGGCGGCTGCTACTTGCGTGATCTGTGTTTTACGAGATACCTACCACAGCTCTTTAGAAGCCGAAATTAAACCAATTAGACTGGTCAGCGCTGAGAAGTCTATCGGTTATTAGTTTGGGCTTCTAAAAAAGATAGTCGTGGGATTCGTGAGCCCCGGCACTTTCACTTCCGAGTAGGCGACCCCCCTTGCCAGCGCTACTCTCCGCCCAATCTTCAGTGCGGTCCGTACCACTCGCACCCTACAACCTGCTGAATGTTCCAGGGTCTCAGACGAGTCCTTCCGTCACCCATACTCTGGCCAGGAGTATCCAGGCTTTCAGGAAAAGAAAACGCTTGAAAAGTGTCCAGCCAGGGTCTCGAACCCACAACTAGCTTCATTTAAGCCGAAAATAAACCATGGTTTGAGGTCGGCTTCTGTAGCTCCAAATAAAAGGTTTTCAGAAATCACGGGACATTCCGAAGAATGTTTCAAGATCGACGTCCGCCAAAAAAATTGCAGCAGCATCACAAACCCGCACACATGCGCCTTTCGGCGTTGTCGACCTCAGATTTATGGTCCCCGCGGGGGCGGGAGGAGCGGACCCGATGACGGGAGCGGCGGCGGCTGTGGCAGCCGGGCAGCACCGACAGCAGCAGCAGCAGCAGCAGCAGCAGTTCTCGCGGGGGGCGGTGACAGCGACTGCTACGGCAACCGCGACCTCCCCTTCGTGCCCTGGTTGCGCCGCTCCGACGACATCGATGCTGGGGACGCACGGCGCCGGCGCCGGCGGCGTGGTTATACCGTCGTCGCGACGCTCGTCGTGGACGGCCGGGGGCGGCGGCGGATTTGAAGTCGGTGGGGTGGCGGGAGGGCGGAGGGGGGCGGCGGCGGCGCTGAGGGACACCACGCGGAGACTGATAGCGGCTAGAAGGAAGCGAGGGGATGGTACGGAGTCGTTGTCGATGTCGTTGTCGGCAAGAGGCAGCAGCAACTCGCGAGGAGGGGGTGGCAGCTCGAAGGTGACTTGTTTTTCTAACGTAGATGTATGTTGTACGAACGAGGTACGTGCAGGGCCGCGCTAGATTCAGCAAAGTGTACAGCGGCACGGAGTAGATGCTGCGCAATCATGGAAAACGCGCGTCCTTCGGTTGTCCCAGCAAGGATGTGACTATGAGACTGATATCGATTGTGTTGCTACCGACGGCCCACCTGTTTATCCCTGAGAAGGAAGCGTGAGAAGAGACTTCGTTTCCGCCAGTTAAATGTGTCCTGAAGCACGAAAACAGGCCAAATGGTAGGTATTGGTGCACACCGAACAAGAATTGCGAGTGGCGCCACAATGTATGCGAAGCAACGCAACGCACACACGCGTCCGATTATTCTTTGGGGGGAAATGCCATTCCCTATCAATGGACGATATGTCCAGTCGAGAAGACTGGATGGTGTCGGGTACGTTCCGATAACCGTTATCGGAAGCGCCTTGCCACCTAGCTTTTGGCGGTGGTGCGAGCTTCGCAAGAGGTGCCCCTACCCCCCCCCCCCCCCCCCCCCCCCCCCCCCCCCCCCCCCCCCCCCCC